CAAAAGTCATCCTGTTTAGCTTGTTGGGTCACAGAGGTGCACAAGCCGTCACACCACATCAAGGTGTAGTTTTATCATGATAAATTATTGCGCAACAGACTGCACAATAGATTCGGATTACACGATAATTCCCGAATACGGAATGCATTTGAATAATGCAAAGAAGAATGCAAACCGAAATACAGCAACAGATGATAGTATGTGAACCAGTCTTATCAAGATGGCACGGGAGACTGATGGAACCGAAATCAATCGCTAGTTTCATTTTACAGCGAGTATTATGAGGAGAAACAAAACATAAGTATAAATGCGCAAAAATAATCCGAAAAGAGAACGGATAACCTAAGGGGCTAAGTCGAGGACTTCGTTTTGAATTAGCACAAATACAATAAGTAATTAAAAGTTACAGATTCCCACCATATAGCGGTTGGCAGCTTGAAACCAGCAGGGATATTCCTGTTTAGCCATGTTAGAATATGACTATTTGGAGATCGCAAAGATACTGATGCACCAGTACATAGGTATGTGTGTGGACTCACATTCGCAGAGATTATTTTGCAACGGAGTTCCCGTGAGAACGATACGTTTGAGAGTGCGCACCTGGGACATAGCTTTGGCCAAGGCAGATCTACAGTTTTTCAGAACGTGACCCTCATCGCAAACGATAATATCCGGGCCGGGGTCCAGTAGCGCTTTGGAGATCGCTTCTTTCATAGCTTTGCTCCGAACTTGTTTGGCAAATCGAATGATGAAATTGCGGAACATATCGTAACCGAGTAGCAGAACACCACCCTAAAATGTGTTCCACAAACAAAATGAAAAGAATCAAAATACAGAACTCATCGGTCTTTGTGATTACGGAAAATTCAAACAGTTGTCACATTCACCATAAATCGTTTTACTTTAAATGACTAACTTCTGTGCGAGGACAAGTTGGCATCACTAATGTCACTGTCATGGTCGCTAAGCCAGGTGACCAAGAAATAGGTCAGCGTACATTTCATGCAATAGAGACTCCAGTTCTGGATAGCACACGCTGCTCGTAGATTCAGGCCTTTCGCTGATGCCAGCTTGGCCTGTGGAGACCCGCGAAATCAATTCGCTACGGCAGCGAAATCCTCAGGACGGGAGAGTTGGGGCATGGCTTAACCTTGTTAGCTGTCGCCTGTTTTCTAACCACTGCAGACGTCTTCGTAGGAGACATGAACGCAGAATTCCTGTGTCCATTCAGCGTGTGGTTAGAAACTCCCAGCATTCCACTGCCCTGGCATTTAATGGTTCATATCTCGCAACCGCATCCGAGAAAGGGGAGGCATGCAACTTAGTTGTCAGGGCTACTTAGTTAAACTTCCTCAAAGACTTTTGAATTTGAATGCAAGCCATTATGGCGTAGATTATACGAATGTGGACTTCGTTCACGGTCTGAGGATAGGTAGCACGGTGGATTCATAATACTTACAGAGGGAAACCGTTTCTAGTTACCCTGCCGATCAACACGGGGATGATAATCTACTGAATGAACTTTACTTTCGATCTTGTTCATTCATTCTATCAACAGTTTGGTAAATTGTTGGACCCGATTCACTGTAGTTACGCAGATGTATTGTTCAGCACTGTAATGTCGGTAGCAAACTCACGGTTCATAATCCATAGAGATGTGGATCAAGATAGTAGTCTTCGAGAGTCTGCCCTAGTAGAAAATCGATAACGAGATCGAACAGTACTGGTGAGAATAGACCAGAACACTCTTCATTTTGTCAACTCCTCCTCACGAGCAGGGACTTACACTGGAGTTGAGGAATAAAAGGTTGATGACTTTTATCAGCATTTTTATAAGGCAAACGCCACACACGTTGTTTTCAAAGATGGAGGCCGCCCATATGACAGTTAGCGAGAAACAAAAGGTTCTTTTCAACTTCTACACAGTAACTTTGAGCGACATGAGGAATTCCAAGATAAAACTAAAAACGTCTTACAATAAACGTAGTCCACGTCTCTGCACTTCATGCAGAGACTCAGTTCCGCTACTGTCACACACCTGTGCGTCTACTTCTTAGTTCAGACTTTCAGACCGAAAAATCAGTGGACTGCACTTTCCAGGGGCTGAATGACGCATGCGAAAAAATCTAATGATAGTTACGTGTTGCCGAGCCGAGTGGAAACCAAGCTATCACTGAAATATAACAATTTTCTGTTCACACTGAGAAAGTTACTCGGAACCGAATACAAATGAACGGAACGATCGACCGACCGACCGGTCTCTAGCGTGCATTCATACCTGATTGTGCCAATGTTTTATCACATCCACACGTTGTCGATTCTCCGGTCGGGCAGACAACTCATAGACATCTAGCGGATCATTCGGCGGTAACCAAATTTCCCATTCGTTTTTCCAATTGAGCAATGTGTTCACGGGACAGATGACAAGACAGGTTCGAATTCGTATAATGTCCGGATGGGACATGAGCGTGTGCAAGAACGCGATCACGGACAGGGTTTTGCCCAATCCCATACAGTGGGCCAGGATAGCACCACGGGTTTGTTCGTTTTTCTCGTCCTGATTGTCAACCGATTCGATCACACAATCCCACAAAAATTGAACCGCTAAATGGAGTAGGGAGAAAAAAGTGAAATTGTGAAGACAAGTAGAGATAACCGATCACTTGAGGTCATGCGATTAGCGAAGAAACACGGAGCTTGAGAAAAATTGGATTAATTCCCAAGCTGGACTGACCAATGACATATTTTTGATGGTGGTTTTTAAATACACCTGGTTTCCTTAGATCGGCTGAGAACTTTTTAATACATTCAGTGAAATGGCTAAATTCTGGGAATGCATCTAATACGCGTGTATTTTATGGCACTGGTGCTGATCGTAGAGATCGTGGAGAACACGTTGAGAAACGGACGAATGAGAACATTTGACCAAACTGCCCCAGAAAGAAAAGGGAATCATTGCAGTATATTACTGACAGGACAATTTTTACGAAATTGAGTAACTGAGTAACCGGTCGTGCTAGGGAACTCACCCTCAACTTGATGCGGTTTCAAATGTTTCAATAGATCCGGATGGACTTGAACCAAATCCTTGGTACCATCCTCAGATTTTTCGAGCACTAATTTCTTGGTAACCAATTGAGTTCCGAAACCTTCTTGGATCAAACAATCGTTGTACTGTAGGAAAAAGCGTAAGAAAAACGAATGGGAAATTAGTGGTGCAGATTTCCCGAATTTATTTTATTCTTTGTCCATCAAATGGCAAAATTCATTTACAGGGAAATCTTCACAGTGAATAATTGACTAAGAACACCAAAAAGTGCATCGTAGCTCACAAACCGTTGTGTTGTTTTCTCGAGTCACACGAATAGTATGGACATGTGACCCATNTGGACATGTGACCCATTTAGACGGCATAATTGGGCTGTTCCACGGGAGCGAACGGATACCCATTGAGGAGATGGTATAGACATTTGGATTATCATTAAATAAAGAAGACAACTGGCACGTTAACAGTCTGCTAACTCACTAAGGAGAATGCCTTTCTTAGCAACCTAATCTTGAAGGCATGACTTCTGTTGTATCTCTTCAAACGGTTTTGTTCTTACGGAATTTCTTACGAACTTTCCTCATGTTGATAGTAAACAATACCAAATATTGCGAACTTACCCACCCAATTGGCTTATATAAACTGGGGTTGCCTTTGTGTTATTTTACCAGTGTAAATTTCACTTGATCTATTGAGTAGGCTATCACAAACAGGGTTCGTTACCATGATCTAAGAAGCTACAAAAGCTATCTGCTATGCAACAAATCGTGTTCACTCTCATCCCCCGGAGTATGAGGCTTTATAATCCATGGGTGTGCGTGATTCCGGGTGGTTCATCCTTGGAATAGCACACTAAATTGCAAAGCCTGAATACGCGAATTTAATAGTGCGATGGGGTTGATCCGGACAACATATAGTTCAAGGGTGGCTCAACAGCAGAGTACGTGTATGGGTAAACATAACATAAGTGTTACCAGTTCCACGTACATCTCGAAGTATTTGGCATACCTCGTGGGTTTTGCGGATCAATTTACACATGATTTCGGCGACCTATCGCTAAACATTTCGATTATCGATCATTTACCAAACAGGTTCCGGAAAAAAGGTACTGGAACATAAGCACCAAATATCAGGATCGACAGTGGACAGCCTGAAGACGGAAAACTGCTGACCAACTCACCAACTTTTGACGTTCAGCCAGTCGCTTTTTACGCTCGCGCTCCTCTGCCTCGGCAGACTTTGTGGTCGCGGACAGTTTGGCTTTCCCGACTATTTTCCTTATCCGTTTTCGACCTTTTGGACTTCCTGATTTACCACCATCAGAACCAGATTCGGATCCAGTCTCTTGCGGATCGTTTGGATCCCGACTGGATTCGGAGACAGCTCCTGTATTTTCGTCTGAATTATCATCGTCTGAACCAGCCTCGAGACGAACGCGCCGCCGGTGACCACGCTCTTTCTGCGGTCCTTTAGTCTTACGTCTTCGTTTTTGCCTCTTGGTGGAGATTGAATCCGAATCAGTATCGTCTTCATCAGTCTCGTCACTCTGTGCACTTGCATGAGATTTCTCGGACTGCGATCGTGGTTTATTATTTGTACTACAATTTTCATTTGCATCCAACGGTGCCCTTCGTTGCTTCTTTTGAGGAATCACATCGTCCCGAGCAGATTCATCTGAAGACAAAACGGAATCAGAGTCCTCGATTGACCGACTTCGCTTTTTTCTCGTGTTAGCGACTTCTTCATCAGACTTAGTATCTTGGGTCGTATTCTCATCCTTTTTCAACTCCTTAACCTCGACATTTTCGGGTTTGGGTCTGGAACAAGAGAAGTTCAGATAACTCAGCAGAAGTTCAGGTTTACCGACAATGAACTACTTTGGTTAAGGTTTTTGTGCTCAATTGTGAACTATCTTCGTCGTGAAGGAATAATGCAAAAAACATGAAGTCAATCGAGTTTCCACACGCATGTGTAGATGATATGGAATTGGTATGGTATAATGCACGACGACTTGGGATATAAAAGACAGAATTCAGCTGTACAGAATCGGAAGTTTACTCAAAGCCGAACACCTAGTCACGTGAGATAGACCGCGCAGTTAAAAGACTCTATGGAATCTTTTCTTTTTAGACTACAAAGACTGGATCTATTAATCTTAATCAACAAAATCGCATTGTACACCACGAAAACTCATAAGGAGCTCATCACCAGAATTAAAGCAGAGCATAAGGAAATTTTCAGTATTCAGCACAATAATCATAGCATGTTTTTTACTTGGATGAATTAGATATTCAGAAATGTCCATTTTATTTCCAGGAGAAAGACAGCGGTCAAACATTAACGGTCAGCAAACAAAAGATGAGATGGGACGCCGGTAGTGGTGGGATTCAGAAACACGAAGTATGAAACGCCGAACCAATAAAACATACTGCTTAACCAGGAAAATTTGAATTCCTTGGTATTATTTGCAAAACCTGAAATCATTAGCGAGACAGAATGTACTTGGGCCACACTATGTACTAGAGTTCGAAGGCTTTGACACAAACCTTTTAACCCATAAGAATGCGTTAGGGATTAGACTCGCTCTCACTTTAGAATGTATATCAGAACGCGACAAAATACTCAATATAATTTAGAAAGAGAAAAGAGATGAAAGACTGGGTTTGATAACTTGTAACGAACTTGTGTTAAAACAGTGGTAATTAAGCGGCAACCTCATCCGAAAATAGTTACATTCAAATAAAGCACCAATGCTACATGAATTTGGGGCAGTCACGTTTAGCAAACGATAAACAAATTGAACCGCTGTACATATCGCAGGTGATTAATTTACTCCGTATTTGTACCTTAAGCTATGAAATGTACTGCCGAGTAATCCGAAAATTATGGCCTTTTCCTCGCCCAAGAACCATTCAAGAAAATGGTCGGAGAATGATCCTAATTTCGGTATAGCTGATGAGATATTCGTCCCGAGAAACAACTGTCTGGCTTCTATGCGATTTCTCGCATTCGGGAAACAAAAACAGAAAAGAGGAAGGATACTCACACGAGTCTAAACCATGCGTAATGCACATGAATTGCGGAACACATTGTGTAGTAACCAGTAGTTTTTACAGCTAAAGACTTCGGTGTTGAATGCGCGAGCAGATTGAAGAGAGAACTAGCTTGTTTTCGACAGATTCGCTCTAACACTAGCAGATCGTTCGTGAAGAAATCTGTGATAAACACTTGTCTACTTTTGCTGTTTGATCGTCAGAAAGACTGATCGCTACTGATTACAGATGACCCAGAGGGCTGTTTTTGATCCAAACACCTTCCAGTGACCTGTATTCAAAACCGAAATGCTGCGATTTTCGAGAGTGAAACGCACTTGCAGTTTAGAGGACAAACAGCGTAGAAGCAATACAGTGGAACGGTACAATAATGATGCACAAAATAATGCGAGCATCCACGGAGATGGGAATCAGATACACAATTTACGTTACAATTAATCAATTTCCTCGTGTACACAGTAGCCGGATAAACCTATACATCTTTAACATGCCGTTAATGGAATGAAAGACAATGATCTGAACGTTTGTGTACAAAGACGTCGAGCTAGGCATATGAAAATAAAAAGTGAAAGCATCCTATGAAAAACTGGTAGCAGTAGTAAGTGGACATGTTATACGCACATTTCATAGAATTCCTACCGGGTATGAAAAGTTATCCGTTTTTTCTCTATTTCTCTTTTTTGAACTCTCACGACGCATTAGCTTCACTGAAAGAGCTTAAATTTGGACCAAAATCATCTTCTGAAGCGTTGAAAAGTTTGACCCAAACCGAATAAACCAGTTTCATGATTAGAGATCAAATGATGCTCGGAGAAGACATCATCAATTGCTAAGCATGCGTCTGACTTACTGAAACCCTTGGCTTTCGTCCTCCGAGCTGGACCAAACACGCCGCATTAGGCTTTGACTAACTCCGTGATATTTGGCTTGTTTTTTCCTTTCTACTATCCCGTTCGATTGTGATCCATCGTCCGCTTGTACAGATTCGGAACCGTCAGCGGAGTTTTCCTGTTTAACGTGCGGGCCAAAGGCAGAGTCACTTTGTGATAGCGGCGCGTTCGAGCCCACATCGCTTCTGACATCTTCGTCCGAACTATCCTGGAGTAACCGGTCGCGATAGGCCAAATCAACACGATACTGGGCATCGGCATCGCTGAGCAACTTTTCTCGCAATTCGTCCGGTTGTGAAACGCATGGTACGGCTTCAGTGACGATATCTTCCTCTTCCACTTCCTGGCCGTCATCCGATATTCTGGCAGAGCGTGTGGTTTGTTTACTAAGAGCTGTTGTTGAAGAATCCTGTACATGAAGAAAAGAATGATACTGTTTAGATTTCCTAGGTTACGGAAATCAACAGTTTCATGAAGATGCCATCGAGTACTACTACATTAAATACAACTGCCTTATTCATATCTAACAATCAGTGAACACATTCAACCCATCTGTGTGAGACAAAAGTAGCTAATTATTCCTAACAAAGCTGTACCCAAGGATAATGAGAAGTTTTAGTAACTAACATCAATCGTACAAGGCTTGAAGGATCCAAGCACCTTGCTCCGCCTTAGTTCGACATTGACACTTTATTCCAAGTGCGGGCACCGAAAAGATGCTCATGTGCTTGCAGTCAACAATTAGTTGCATGGACGAATAAATCCACATCATGTACTGCCTTGACCTGGGCAACCTGGTAGTATTCGGCGCACATGCAAATCGTGCAACATTTTTCTTTTTATGAAGATTATTGTGCCGCGATTTGTTTGGCACACAGTCTGGACTCAGACGTGTGTGAAATATATATATAACGTACCACTGAAGTAAATCCCATTAACGGATTTATTTATTGAAACACAGTGATAACGTGTGGCAGTTACAACCTTCTACGTCCGGGCACGGTCGACTGAAAACTTGACTCATTCACTAAACAGTATTTTTTTGTAAAATCAAGTCCAAAACTTACTTAATCAACCAACTGATCGATCGTGTGACGGACAAATATAGGCGAATGGAGTTAGCTGAGCTCACATCACAACAGTGCACCAATGGATATGCAAGTGCACTGAATCTGTGACTCGCTGATAGACCTTAGTGTTCCCAACTATTCGATGAAAGTAAAAAAGGTAATAACCGAAGTTGGATGATGGCAGCAGGGTTTGAACCTCAGGCCTTGGGGCCCAAGGCACGGCAGTGACAGCAACCCAACTTGTTTGACCATAATCACACCAAAAGGAAAGGGTTCGGTTTGAATACTAGATTCACAAAGGAACAGCAGAGACGGATCTTCAATGAAAAGGAATAGAAAGGGAGTCTAAGAAGTGCTAAGAGCGGTATACCTAAGCCTACCAAATGAGGCACACCTAAAAGTAGCAGTTACTATAAACTTGTCAATATACATTTGAACTAAACTTATTTCATGCCAGACGTGCTTCCGAATTCATGACCTTAGAATAGTGGCATCAAAGTGTCCCCACGTGTCAGAAGGAGGCTCCCAACGTTTTGCACGCCGACGACAGCAACTAAACCGTTGCACCACCACCACTCTTAGGACTTAATTGCGTGATCTTCATATCAATGCTTAGGTGAGTTTTGCTCACAAGATTTGCGTGGAAAACTCACGCCTTTGTTTCGATTCATCAGACATTCTCATCCTCAACTGGATTGTTTTGGGCAGAGTTTTAGATAAATGCGGCCGCCCACTGGAGCAAATGATCGACTTCCATAGATTACGTTGGTTGGGGTATGTGTTACGCATGTCACCAAATAGGTTGCCACCGTGAGCGATGTTTTCCGAGGCAAGTAGTGGGTGGAAAAAAGCCAAGGGTGGTCAAGGTAAGACCTGGTATGAGGGTATGAAAACCCGAACCAGTAGACTGGGTCACATAGATCCCGTTAGGCTCCCTGGTTGGGGACACTGAGTGCTATGGCTGAGTGTCGTAAACAGTGAACGAGAGTTAAAAGTCAACACATAACTTGACAATAACAGTAGAAAAAAGAATGATGATATAAACAGCAATGTAAAGATAAAAGACGATTAACAAAACAAAATGAACTTCGAGATACGCCCGCCANGACCCCCCCGCCATAACGAATCGATTCATATTTATACAATGGGTACAACAACAACCACCGTGTAAATCCTATGATGAATCTACAATTGAGAGACCCGAGCATTATGAATTCGGATCTATCGCTGCTTCAAAGACACGGCTTATATCACACAATCCCAATAATGAATAAGACAATCACAACAAACTTAAGTGACTTGAACTGAGCTCACCTTTGAACTCGGATCCGTTGACTCACAACTTCCAGATTCGGTCAAGGATTCTGTAAAAGTGAGTAGAAATTAGATGGAAAGTACGCATATGGAAAACGATAAGCTCAAGGGATGAGGAAAAAATGATAAGGTGTTGTATAACGTTAAAAAGAGTGATGAAGAGATTTCAGTACGGTTAAGCAATCCCTATGTACCAGAGGTAGAAACGAGACTGCTCGGTGAAACTGTACTTAGATTCGAAAACCGAATATGAAGACTTAGATATCTAGTTCTCCAATAAACGTTGGGATAAACCAACGGTAATGGAGAATTCAAGGTTAAAAATGACACTTATGGATATGTCATTAAGTTCAAAAGAAAAATCTATAGAGAAGCGGACGGATTGTAATAGCCTGCGAACTGGTCACCACAAAAGACTGCGGCACGGTGATTTGAACGGCTTGGTTTTCACCGATTTGCAGATCCTATCAAGCCGGAGGATATGGACCACTTTATTCACCTGACCATCTAGGACGGAGGTTCCACTCTACACCTTTTCCCATCAAGCTTTAGACAAAACCCGTAATCCTTTAGCTTCAATGAAAAAAATTTAGCCACGCCGCAGTAGGCCAGTCAGATCAAAAAGTATCGAAATATTCTGAAGTCAACAAATGTTGGAAAAATTATTTTCTATAAATTTGGATGCTGCAAAGCTTGATTAAGAAATAAGGTGTGTGGGTTGCATGCTGCAACACAAGTGGATTGGAGAAGGTTTAAACGATATGCCCGTATCGTCAAATCATTTGACACATCTCGTACAGCTTCTGTTTCTGTATAACATGCGATACTCCTAGGAGTAAAAATCATAAGCGTAACTCAAACGATACATTGTTTTGCATACGTGCTAAGGATAATAAAACGTTCGTAAAAGTACACCCTCATAACTATCATCAGTTTATTAACGGTGCAACGTGTCATAATTACCACGGTCAAGGCTTAATTTTTATGGGTTTTTGTCTATAGCTTCTTGGGAAACAGTTTTCTAAAGGGGTATGCGTGAGCAGTGTTTATTATCCTCCACCTTTAATGTATCCATATGTTAAAAAAGAGTTCACTTCAAGTGGATATACGAAACGGTAAGCACATAGCTTTTGATTTGTTTCAGGGTTTGTGAATGCAAAACAATACATTAAGTTTCATTTGAGATTTTTACTCCTAGGAGTATCGCATGTTATACAGAAACAGAAGCTGTACGAGATGTGTCAAATGATTTGACGATACGGGCATATCGTTTAAACCTTCTCCAATCCACTTGTGTTGCAGCATGCAACCCACACACCTTATTTCTTAATCAAGCTTTGCAGCATCCAAATTTATAGAAAATAATTTTTCCAACATTTGTTGACTTCAGAATATTTCGATACTTTTTGATCTGACTGGCCTACTGCGGCGTGGCTAAATTTTTTTCATTGAAGCTAAAGGATTACGGGTTTTGTCTAAAGCTTGATGGGAAAAGGTGTAGTTCGCAAGTGGGCGCTCATCCACTTGAGGCATCTGTGACACCACGTCTCTCAAAGGGTACAAATGTAACCTACCTCGATTGAAAAATCTCCTACCTACGGTCATGAGATTTGTCGTAAACGCTTTAGAGCCCCAGTATTCAATCATCACAGGTCACCAACCACAGTCTTCGTCTGGCGTTAAAATCAAATAATGGAGTGCAGTAAGTACAGAAAACTGTTCTAAAGGAAAAGGATCGGATTACAGTCTTCGTTGCCTATAACTGCCAATACATGAACTAGAGTGAGGCATACAGAATTTAATGAGAGCATCGACGTTTGCCCGACAATCTGAGGGCTAATGCACTGACTAATGTCGTCACGTGCAAATCCCAAGATATATGGTTCAAAACAGGAAACAGTGATGCAAATCCCGTTAAAGTACAATATGAATTCAAATGCGATGGAAATGTTTGTGATAACCAACAAAGAGCACTGGACAGCTGTTCCGTCTTGTATGGGACTCGTCAGCAGTGCACACATTTTGTGTTACTGTCAGGACTCGAACCGCGATCAGACGGGTCGGGACTTCAAACGCTTACCCCTGAGCTACACGGTCGACGGTTATCACCTTGTGTGAATAGCTCAATCAATTTAGAGTATCAAGCTTGGATTAGCCCATTCGATTGTTCAGAGGCACCAAGTACTCTTGATGGCATTTGAATGCATACAAACAATGGGGAATTAACCATCTCCCAAGGAGTGAAACCCACACCGAAGACTATCAAGAGTGTCTGGTGCCCCTGAACAATCGAATGGGCTAATCCAAGCTTGATACTCTAAATACAATATGAATTCTTTCTATTCCTCTCTCCTGAGCGAGTGAAATAACAAACAAAAATATCAAAAAATGCGTACAGTATCACACAAAGAATTCAATTCTATAGTCTATTTGCCTGACGATCCAAACGTATTTCATCTTACTGTTTAAAGGCTTGAAATCATGCTGAAGGAATAGTTAACACTATTACAAATCATGAAAATAGAAATAGTCCGGTTGTAGATCCCGCATAACCTAACAGGGCTTTATGTAGTTCACCACTCCAATCTCCGGTGCCGGTTTCCATGAGTGAACAACAGGTCCTCGTGTCTATGACATATACTTAGTCTGCTGCTCATCACACACAGTGTTCATAATAAATAAAAATAACAGATACCGGACCAATGAAAAAGGGGTAAATAACCTACCAGAAGACTGAGGCGTTACAATACGCTCTTTGTGTTCTTGTCCTGCACAGGCCTGGTTCTCCGTATCTGAATTCGCAGTCACACTTCCAGTTTCCCCTTTTAATTTATCTTTCCTCATCGTTCTGCAACGGCGTTCCAAAGAACAGACATCTGCTTCAAGTGAAGCCAGATCAGGGTCGGAATCAGGATCAGAAGCGCCCTTTTTCGATGACTTGTTCTATGTTTCCGAGTACGAGTGGAATGATTGGATAGAAAAATAGACAAGCAATTAAATTGGGGGAAATTACTCACCAATATCATATTTACCTCAAATGCTGAAAGGAAATACATCTATGAAGTCAGATTGAGTAGCCCAACCTCAAAACAGATGTACACAATAAAAAGTATATTGGGAGCTATGCGATTGTCAGTACAACCCAATCGACTAAGCGGTCGGACAATACACGCGTGGCTTGTGCCACACCGTGCATAGACAAAAATAAAGCAGTCGGATTGGCTGCTTGATGGTCAAATGAATAGAATGCTTGTGTTCTACTAGTACTGGAGTCCTGGGTTCGCGATCCTAATCTGGGCTGATGGATTTGTAATGATGATGAACCTCGTCCAATAAGAAACAGCTGTGCTCCATAACCTTTTAGATAATTCTTCAATTGCTCTGCGCGCTATAAATTTCTTCAAATCATTGACAGTATGTGCAGCATTACCGTTTGAAAGAACGGGGTATGGGGAATGAAAGAAGGCAACGATTGCAGTCGAGGAGCATTTTCGTTTTATCGGAGTGATGAATGAGAATTGCGGTCTCGATAAAATACGTCTTATCAGCAGAAGCGATCAAAGGAATCGGACACCACGAGCAACAACAACCATGTAAATTCTTCTCCTCATCATCATCATCGTACAGCGAAAAACAGTGAGGCGAACTTCACTGACCGCTGCCAAACTCACAGTGCATACAAGGTTAGTGGTAAAATTTAAGGTGGACAGGGGTCGGATCTATTTTGAGGAAGGGAGAAGGAGATGAGCCACTATAGTCAACACACAGAGTACGCAATCGAACTCTGCACGCATACTGTTTCAAGCATTCTGACCTGATAAGAAACGACAAGAACGCCACTGCTGCCGCTTCGCTGCCATATCCTTCAATGTCTCCAACCGACCAGTTGTGGAGTCTTTCGGACCCCAACCTGGAAGGCGAGAGACACCTACTCTACCTAACGGTTCTGTGCATTTCTTCATGAATCGTCTCCATGTCATCTGTTGACCTCCACGTGGTTTCCTCCAGCCCGGATTAGCTACAGCGAATAAAGCGCGGTGCGGCAGACGATGGCTGGGCATACGCAATACGTGCCCTAGCCAGCGAAGCCTAGTAATCTGAATTCGGTATGCTAGCAGGTTTATACATGACAGACTCCCAAACACACGACGGCTTACCTCCACGTTATGAACCCGTTTGCTCCATCCAACATGGGCTAAACTGCGTAAACACCGATAATCGAAAACCTCTA